GATAAAAGAATTCAGGAAAATTATTTAACAAACAGCACATTTTTAGCAGGTACCTAATACATCAAATTAATATTTAATTAAACATACATAATAACAATAGATTCACATATTRTTTTAGCGATTTTTGTTGATCCTCGATACCAGTGTTTATTAACTCCTGAACAACAACAAATAGCTATAATTCGTCTTGTCGAAACATGGGAGACATTACTAGAATAGAGACTCTCCTATTGACGAATTTCCAGAAGCTACCGGTAAAAAATGAATGCCTATTAATTATTTACTCAATAAAAATGTTTAGTTGTTAAATGTTTTAAATATTTAAGAATTCTAACGGACTAATACATTAAATTACATCCTGGATAAATTATTAACAATTTTGTTTTAAACATATCACTGCAGGYGATATGAATATTATTTTCATATAAACTAAATATAAAATAATGGAAATTCTGAATAAATCATGTTGATATTTTACTTGATTGGAAATTAAAATAGGAATAAATAAATTTTTACTTAAAAAAAAATATGCTGATTTCTAGAATAATCTGTAAAATTTTATATAATACAGTTATTTGTCAAATAAAGTAGTTGAGTTAATCCTGTATTGAACTTTAATTTCAGATAATGATGAATCAACCATTGAGAGTACTATCGAAAGTAGCCAAGACTCTACAGATCCATTTGAAGATTTTTTATCATCGCAATCTTCTCTTAAATCAAATTCATCTGCCTCGTCCTTAACAGTAGCTTCCCTAAGTACATTAAATATGTTGAATGGTTTTAAAAATGTTGAGCGCATTTCATATACTGCCGATATTTTGCAATATTGGAAAACACGACAATTAACAGATCCACAACTTTATCAATTGGCAAGTGTAGTCTTAGCAGTTCCAGCGACTCAGGTTTACATGATTATTTATGTTTTACCTTATGATAATATTTATTTTATATTCTTGTGATTATATTTAAACTTCTACAAGTTGTACTATTACATTTTCAGGTCAGTGTAGAAAGGAGCTTTTCTGGATTAAAATTTGTTGTTTCTGATTTGAGAA